GCAACTTAATCTCCAAATTATTACTACAAATCTTGGCATATGCCTGAAAGCTGTTAACAGTTGTATCTGACAACACTATATATTTAAAAACCTGTCTATAAATACATGATAAAAAATTGTATATGACTGTATACAACACGATCTGAGATTTTGATAATATTCGTACAGTCTCTGCTCAATCAACTTGAATAAAGAACTGATGTGGAAATTAAAAAACTCAGTGTGAGTTTCTGCTATCTTTGGTTGAATTTTTATATATTACTCCCCAAGATACTCTTCAGACAAAAAAACGTTTAAAGCCTTTGTTGTATTATAACAACATTCCCAAGAGCAGCTTTAAATTTGAACACCTAGGCGTTTTCACCAAGAATTCTCCCAGTTATGACCACCCAGAAACAGGAACACAAACACAAAGCAGGTTCTGAGTAGCTGTCAACATTTTAAGTGATGGAAGTAACACATCAGCAGTTACCCAAAACAAAAAAAATATCAAAAGACCATCCATTTTTGGCTGAACCAATTGCTGCAAGCATCACTGACAAAAACAAGGCATACTGTAACTACAGCAGTAGCTTTGCTGCAGTGCTGACAGTGTACACACCACTATGTAATGCCTAAAAACACAGTGGAAAAACTAACTGTGGATCTCAGGGTCAACTCTTCTACACACTGTTCATAACAGAAGGTAAGAATATTTACTTTGGGGAAGTCCCATTCACTGAGGAACAGAGAAGGGAAACTACTGGTCAAAATTCCTGATAAGTGTTATCACCTTAAAGGAAGCTGGAACTTGTTACTGTGCTGCAAGAAAGCTCTTGAATGTCACGCACAGGTTTGGCCCCTGCATCTGGGAGTGCCATAAGATCTTAAGGAATTTGGGTCTCACTCTACTTAATGCTCTAAGCCTACTTCAGGCATGCTCACAGCACAAAGCTAAACACGCATATATTTGTTTTGTGAGACCAAGGCCCCTAATTCCTGAGTGAATTGAACTCTCCTAGAGATGAGGCATAAAATCACAGAGCAGTATTTACTCCACTGTATGTTGTTCATAAAACTGCACCAGCCTGAGGTCAGACAGGAACATGAGACCTTCACAGTCAGGAAAGGCTTTTATTACTACAGTTCCTATTAAAGGAACATAGACAATAACTGAACGTACTTTCCAATACATTGACATAATTTTTATATTTTCATTCAAATGGCATATTAACAAGCATAGCATGAATTTAACTATGTTACTTCAGAGGGTTAGTATTTATACATTACTTCAGCATGCAAAACAACTCAGTAAAAGTGACAATAGAGTGTAATTTACTAATGGCAAATTAATGACAGTAATTTAACAAATGCAACACCCACGTGTCACTGACTGATGAAGCCAAGCAGTATGCCTAGAAACACACATAGCTGGAGATTCAGTTCAACTTACAGAAGTTATTCTTGTTCTTTTTTATTTTAATTCTCATAGAATTGCTATACAAATCCTCAAAATTAATTTTGGCAGTTTTCAGGATAAAAAGAAATAAAAAGAAACAATTCAGCTAATTTGCAAGTTACAAAACAAGGGAGGGGACTTCAAGCATGCTTATGATACACAAGATAAATGCCAGACACCACACCTAGACAAGCTTGAGCTAGTTACCATTAGGACAAAAACAATGCTTCAAGTTATTTTTCACCATGCTGATGCTACTAATGTATGATCTCCAGCGGGGCTACTTGCTCCAAGCATCCAGTTCTTACAAGGAATCAAGAAAGCACAAAGCATGCAACTAAATAAGGATGGCAACACTGAGTGTGATATGGGGTGATGTATCACTGATATCACAAAATATTTAAATTGAAAAAATGAATAATGTTTCAAGTGAGTCCTTTCATAGGTGTTGCAGTGTTATATGATTAAAGAGTTGTTCATCCCAATAGGATATACTGAAATTTTTAATGAAGAAGTAGATTCATGACCATCTTGGGACCACGTAAGGGCAGTGTATCTTGAAAATTGCTACTCACGCTCTTCACATATAGCACTCCTTATTTATTAGTGAGTAGATAAAGAGAGTGTACACCCCTCCTGGTATTCTTTCTGCACTGGTAAAAGCAACAAGCTTTGCATCATTTCAGCCTCTATAGTCTTTAATATAACAATGTCAGAGATTTGCAAAGGACAAAATACACTGTAGTAGAGCAATTAAAAAAATACTATGTGCCATAGAAAAGATCGAATTCAGAGTTACTTTGAAGAGACCTTCCTGCATCTGAATAAAACTTTCAAGGTTATTGATCCTCATCACATTTACATTTAAACAACTCACTCCTGGCAGCAAGTCAGGTTGTAATATAATGTTTAAGCCAGGAGACAAAAAAAGTTTCACCTTTGAGCAACAATTGGCTACCCATTCTAATAATTCCCTTTTGCTTAGCCCGAGCTGCACAATGCTCCATGACAGGGGCATCCTTTCATCACCAAGAGAAACGTATGCACCTTATTCCTCCTCAAGCTACCTTGATGGTGTAATGAGCATCCTTCCTACAAAGCACTCCTACTGAGTAGCTTAGTACTATGGTAATAGTTACGTTTAATTTCTAAAGAGAAAATATTACTATAATGGGGTTTGACAGGTTTCTGTTAAGGTTTGACCACTGGGATGAGGCAGTTTTAGAAATAGGAAATAACAGCTATGTGTCTCGAAATCAACACACCAACAAGAGGCGGTAGGTCATACGGCTAAAACCTCACATACCCTGTGAGGGTCAGACCCCAGACAACTCTGCTTTGGCTAAAAACTGGTTGAATTACAGAAGACAAGAAAATCAACCTGCAACAAATAGTATTTACAAACGGATCAACAAGAACACAGAAACATAGGAGTTTTACACTAGCTTCTTCTTCCCCTCCCAAAAAAAAAGCATTTGGGGAAGTTAGTTAGTATTTAGAAAGGTTAAAATAGATGTGTATATATGTGAATTATCAATTCAATGCATCCATTAAAAAAATCAACTTGCACATTAACGTTTGACCTATATAAGCAATGACCTTTAGAATAAGCAGTACTGAAAGCAGTCAGCAACTTTGAAAGCAGCTGGCAACTAACCAAGAAGATTTTTAACTTTAAGTTAAAGAACACGGGCAGCAAAAAGCTCGTCCTATACAGCCCAATTCATCTCGGTATCGCAGGAGAGACAAAAACCTACTACTTGCTCCACGTTTAATATGCTTCTTAAAGGGCCTCAGCTTCTTGGTTATTTCAGTTTAGCCGAATGTTTCTCAAGCCTCGAGAGCACGTGTGCCCATCCTCAAGGCTACAGGGTACCGGTGCTGCAAGCCTTACTCCAGTGGCACGGGCAGCTATCCGGCTCTACTCATCTCTTGCGGGGGGAAGGAACAAGGAAACTTATTTTAACTTCTGTTTTTCTTCATTGACTTTCTGAACAGGGAACACGAGAACTCGGAAAGAGGAACAAGCATCAGCCACACGTTAATCAGTACCTAAAGAGGAGTTTGGTCCGATTTTAGAATAAACGGCGGAGACACATGATCCAATTAAATTCTAATTATGTAAGTAGTAGGCAAGAGTATTTACACAGGCACTGATTACAGCTATTAGAGCCTAAAGTCGCCGGCTGGAGACGCTCCGCTTCCTCCCCCGCCGCCAGGCTCGTCTCATTTTTAACTTCCCCCCTTCACAGCCCTCCCTACAGACAATAGGAGACGCCGGCCCGAGAGCCCCGTCTCCAAACCCATGCCCCCTCCGGCGGACACCAGCGTGGAGGAGCCGCCGCTCTCCCCCGAGTGATGTCCCCGAGTCCCACCTCGGGGCCGAGAGCCGGGGAAAGACCCCCCACACTCACATCCCACCGCCTGCGCCCCCAGCCCCGCAGCGGTGGCAGAGGCAGCGAAACCCCCCGCCCCGCCACCGCCCCTTACCTCCGAACAGGTGCGGCGAGAGGTGCGCGGGCAGCGAGCCGATCACCAGCCGAGGCCCGCCGGAGGAGCTGCCGGAGGAGCCGCCGCCGCCGCCGCCGCCCCCCGCGGGCCGCTCCCGGCCGCCCTCCTCCGGGGTGCTGCTGACCGAGTCCTGCGAGCCGTAGGGGCCGACGCTGTGGAGGATGTTTAGGGCGGACTGCGCCGCCCGGGCGCCAGAGGCCGTGGCTCCCCCCAGGGACCTGCTCCGGGGTGCCGACCCCGCGGCACCCCCCGCCGCCGCCGCTCCTCCGGCCGCCGCCGCGCCGCCCGGAGCGGCGTGAGGCGCCGCCGCCAGGTGCGCGTACCGCCCGCCGGCGCCCGCCGAGCGCCCGCCGGTCCCGTTAGCGCCGCCGCCGCCGCTGCTGCTGCTGCTGGAGGAAGGCAGATCCCCGCCCGAGTACGCCCGGGTGCGGCCATTGGCGGCGGTGGGGCTGCTCTGCTTCGCGCCCATGGTCCCGCCGCCGCCTGGCGCTGCCCGGTGCCCTTCGCCGCCGGCTTCCCCGCGGCGCCCGGGGGTGGTGGCAGTTCGGCCCCGGCGGGGCGATCCGAGGCGCGGGTCGCGCCGGGGAAGGGGGAAAGGGTTCGCCGGGGGAGGGGGACGGGTCGCTCGGTGGGTCGGTGTGGAGAAGGGAGAGCCGCCCGCCGGGATCCGGCTCAGCTGGCGGCCCCGGCGCGGCCGCTGCTGGCGGGTCCGGGGCGCCACCATGAGCTGCTCGGGACGGTGCTGGCTCCCGCCGCGCGGCCTCTTGGCCCCGCCGCCGCTGCTGCTGCTGTGCCCGCCGCCGCCGCGACCGCCGCCGCCATCCTCCTCCGCCGCCGCTGAGCCCTGTGCGGGGCACCGGCGGCAGCAGCGCCGCCGAGGCCGCTCGCTCGCCCGCGGCGCGCCGTGCCCGTGCGAGGGAGGCGGGAGGGGGCGGTCGCCCGGCGCAGCCGCTCCTCTACCGTGTCGCCATGCTGGGGGCGGCACCAGCGGGCGGGGTGCGGAGCGGTTAGGGCGGGCGGGGGCCGCCGCCTCTCTTTCCCTCCCCGCGCCCGGCGGGAGACCGGCCCCCGGCGGCGGCGCAACGAGCCGGGCCCGCCGCCTTGCCCCGCCTCCCTCCCCGCTCCTCCCGCAAGGTGCGGGGCAGCACCAGGTGAGGCCCCGCCTGGGCTCCGGCCGTGCTCCCTAAGGTGGTTAAGGAGGTTCCTTCGGTAGGAACCTGCTGGAGAGAGACACACAGACACGCACGCACACACACACACACACACATTCACGAGGGGGGCTCGCTGTCCACCTGCCCGTAGGGGCTGCCCTGCCGGGAAAGGAGTGAATGAGCAAGAGCGCGGTGCTCGAGGGCGGGAGGCGGCCCCTGGGTCCGCTCTCCCCTCGAGCCCCGGCAGGTAAAGGGGGAGCGGAGCGGTGCAGCGGGAGGCGGCTCGGCGGGGCGGGCAAGGCCGGGGCGGCGAGTGCCCTCCTGCCGCCCGGTTCTCTGCTCTTGCGGCTCCAGCAGACGCCCGGATGCCCGACCTCGGCGGCCGGGTTGCTCGGCTGGGCCGCTGCCCGAGTCCCGGGCTGGCGGGGCGGGCGGTGTAAGGGCCGCTTGGCCCCGTCGGGAGCTCTCCCGGGTCCGGGGCTTCCAGCCTGGGCGGTTTGCTGCCAGTCTCGGCTCTCCTGGAATGAGGACATACCAGGAGACATATGGGACGTATGGGGAAACTGGACAAGAAGGATGAAAATCTCGTGTCTCTGGTTCACGGGCGATACAGGAAAATCCCGTAGACCTCAGTCTCTCACTCAGAGAAAAACTCATATTTTTACACAAGAATTGACTAACCTGAAAATTTTGGCCCAGTGAATAATATCCATGTGGATAACAGGCTTGGTTTGCTCCTGACAAAATTATCAGAGACATAAAATTATTTTGTTCTTTAAAAGTATGTGATGTTGAATGTCATGTACATTGAATTTATATAAATATGATTCCTACAATCACTCATTCAAGGAAAACTGTTTTTATGGATTACTGTCTGTTCTAATACAAGGTATGTCACCATGAAGCACTGCTACACACCGACTCAGGTCTCTCCATCATGCTGTCTCGGTAGGGACCCCAACTACCTTCCTGCCTGTGTCACAATGGCATAGAACCCAAGCTGATTTACAATTAACACAATAAAACTGATCAAAACCTTAATTAATACACAAAGTATTATGTAACATTTTCTGTATTACATGTTATTATTACATGAATTATGTATATATAAGGTACAAACCTAACATTTACATGTACATGTTCCATTTACATGGAACATTACATGTACACTTATGGCATATTTGATGTTCCTCCTCAGATGCAAATAGGCACAAAGGCCTCCCTTTCCCCCTCCTTTCACCATCTCTGTTACAACTGCATGTGGTCGTGTTCTGGCATCAGTGCAGCTCACAGCTGAATTTGCAAAAAGAGGTACCATAGTTGGGGGTGGCACAAGAGATTACTAGCCCCAGCTCTTCATTCCAACACCACTTTTCTGGATAGCTGAGACACTGTGAATAATCTGAACCCCATTTAGAGGATGCTGCTGTAAACTATTGCCCGTTTCAGTAAGAGGCAGTGATTCCACAGCTGTCTCATAAACAGCTTGGTCCTTTGTGTGCTGGGTGCTGGGCAGACAGCTGGGGTCGATAATCTGCCGTCCCAAGATATGTCATCCCCACTTGTGAATTATAAGATGCAGTCTCTCCTAGCAGTGGTAGATACTCCAAAGTAGATCAATCATGAGCACTTTCTTGTTGTTTTCTACAGAAAAAAAAAATCAGTGTGAACACACTGTCTGCTCTACCACTGATTACTTTTTAAATACTTGTCCAGCTTCAGCCAAATCTCAGAGACATTAATTGTATAGAAAATAAATGGTTATGTAGAAGATAGAGATCCTAATGTTCCCACCAAAAGGAAAGCTACCGTAGGAATTCCTATCTTGCTAGATTCCAAGAATCTGCTCAGGCAAGGGATGTTGCAAACATGACTCATAATTTCTGCTGCTCACAGAATGCCTGTGGCATGTTGAGCCCTATTGGAGCAGGTTTAGAGGGAGCATGCTCAGAGTTTTATGGAGTTTTTAAAATTTCCACTACTGAGTGCTAGTAGAGCTGGTCAGCTGCTAGAATAAACAGCATTTTGAAAGTAGTGCATTGCTACACAGTACCACAGTACTTTCTGTATTTTTTTTATAGTGGATCTAAGAGTTGAGCAGATATTAAATACAGATTATATTTGACTGTGAATAACCTTTTATTCAATTTAGGATTAAAATATAAAATCTATGGGGGGAAAAAAAACTCTTAAGACATCTAGCCAGTTACTGTCTAACAGTCAGAAAATTACCTTTAACAGCACAGGATATGTCACAGAAAAAAGTCACAACAACAGTCCAGCCTGTGTTCCCTTCTCAGAGAGCATGACTGTTTCCTATGCTTTTGGTTTGTTTGTTTGTTTTTTTGAAGGCTTCAGTTTTTGTTTTGTATCTAGGACATATTTGCAGCTCTCTCACTATCAAGTGTGAGTCTAAACAAGACACATATCTCAAAGAACACCTAGATCTTCAGAAAAGTGATGTGTTGTGCCTCTGAGCCAGCTTTCTCCCCTCTATTCTCCTCGTCTCTCTTAAAAATGGTTGAATAGAGATTTTTCTGCATATTGAAATTTGCTTTATATCAGCAACAGTACAGTTAGGTTTTCAGGCTAACGTTTCTTCTAACAAATGTCTACTAGTCTTTTAGTCTTGTAAAGGCAAGTACCTGGCACCATAACCTCCACCCCTTTGTTCATTAACACACTCCAGAAATAGTTTGCATAAAAAATTCTTAAGTTAAAAAAAAGTAACTAGTGATGAAACAGTACAGGGAGAAAGTAGAATATCTTGGTGCTGACCATATTTCCACAGATTTCAAGGACTCAATGGAAAGCAGATAGTTTTATAAAAATTGACTTTGATAGGCCTATATGGGTGAATGCTGCTATTATTCCTGTGGAAACATATCTAGGGACTCTTATTCATACTTAAATAAGCACTACTTGTTCCTTGTCCAGGATAGTGGGAAAAAACTGGTTTAGACAGGCAAATATACTTGCTGTTCTTTGTTACAAGCTGCATACCTCCACTTCAGTTCTGGTTACACCAGCTCATCTATCAGCAACTGAAAATAATGAACTTGTTTCTTGACCAGTTTCCTTGAACATACCAAGTGGCAGGTGTGCCCTAGGCATACAAAATTAGCCGTCAATTCATAATATTGCGCATTTTGGAAAATGTGTGCTGATAAATGGAACAGGGGTCTGCATTTTACTCAACAGTGAGCTATGCAGACAGATCAGCCCCCCTCTCCCTCCCTGCCCCCTTCTTTGGTGGCTTTTAAAGGGACACTGAAACAAGGATTTAAGCAAGGTTTCATTTCTGACAGAAGCATCTGACCCTGAACTAATAAAGCCAGCCAGAGTTTCATTCTGTTCAGAACTGATCAGACACTCTTTTCTAAAGGAGAAAGATTTAAAAAGTAGCAGCACAGACTCATAACATGCAGCTTAATTTTATAATAGCTAGTGTGGGCTCCTAAAAGGGTTTGGCCAACTAGGTTTTCTGAGCAGTTACCAAACTAGAAGTGCACAATGTGATTGGAAGAGATCAATGCAGTTTTTACATTACTGTTTATTTCATCTGTTTAAAATAAAAAGTGCTGCACACCGCTTCTGCACAGATACTGAAAACAGACACTTCTGATGTGTTCTGTTGCTCA